AGATATTTGTTGATTTAATTTCTTTTGGACAGCCTTTGGGTAGTAGTAGCTGCTGTAAAATATTTCCTTTTGTTTTGTTTTTTACACTAAACTATTATGAGACCCATACGCCATAAAATTTGCAAGCCTTTTGTTTAATGCTTGACCGAGATTTTTTGTTGTTGTTTTGTTTATGGATGGATTCTTGTTGTGAAAACCAGGTGTAGCAAATAACTCAAACAGAACCTTAATTTATTTAGACTTGAAGGACATTCTGACATTCATTGTTAACTAACTTGTCTTGAACGAAATGTTTAAGTTCTTAAGCTTCTTTACTTTTGTTAGATTACTTCTTATAATTGTTGCCTTTACCTTTTCAATTGAACTAGATTTTAATGATATGTATTTTAGTCAATCTGTTCCCTTTCTAGCTAGTGACATTGGATTACAATTATATATCAACTTGTCTAGTTTGATACTAGTATCTAGTTTGTTATTGCTTAATTACAATTGAAATGAAGTCAAAGTTTTCAACTTTCTACGTGTCTATGTTTTGCTTTAATGGAATGCGTCTAGTCATTCATTTTTTGTGGAATGCTTTAATTGAAATGAAGTCAAAGTTTTAGTTCTTAATTGTGGCCACTGTAAGAACTATAACAATACTTACCTGCTTATTGTCTCCCATTTTGCAGTTTATTGTGAAGCATGTATAAATAATCAAGACAACAAGGTCTGCAAATCTGATTTCAGATTGACATTATGCTTTGTAAGATGATGATGATGTATCTTAGTATGATATTATCTATCTTTTTTCTATCTAGAAGGCCATTGCTGACCTTGTATCTATCAAAGTTTATTTTAAATTTAACATCTGTCACCTGTGAGATCAACTTCAAATAACGATGATTATAATAGAAGCATCAGCAGAAGAACTGCTTTTGGACTATTATTGGTTCTTTGAACACTAATTATGGTATTTTTTGGTGTTCAGAAAGAATTGGTCTAGGGATTCAATATAAAGGATCAATGAGTGAAATTGCATGAGAAGCCCAGAAGCATATTTATTATGAATAACCCTTTTGATTTACCCTCCATTGTAATAGAAGATTGCATCTATACTTTAAGCTGCTGAATTTTGTAAATTCACTGTAGGACTTGTGAGAAATTGTTAGCTCAATAATTAGGTAATTGTCGTGTATAAGATGTGGAAGAATTAGTATATAAAATCTAAATAACAAGTAAAACTGCTCATTTAAACATTTTAACTTGAGAATCCTTATACATGCAAAGGGAAATTATGTAACATTTTAGATTGAACTTTAAATAAAGTAGGAATTATTAAAAAGTGTAGGATGTCTTACTAAATACCGCATGTCTTTGGCAAACCGACCAACCCAACCCAATCCGACCTACACTTGATTGGGTTGGGTTTGGGTTGGAGCAAAAACCAACTCAACCCAACCCACGCTCACCCCTATTATTACCTATCCGACAAAACGACCAAGCCCTAGAACAAAATTCTAATTCATTTCACTCCTTTTCGATTTTAGACACACATTCGCACTCCTACATTGCAGATACAATTGCATTTATTGAATGTTTGATTTTTATTTTTTTTAAATTTAGGCATATGATGAGTGTGTTTTGCACATGGATTTTATACCATTGGAGTCTCATTTTTATGCTTAATATGTTGATTATAGAATGAATTTAATGTGTTTGCTAGTATTTTGGTTGAAGAAACGTTAAAATGAAGAAAAGTGGCTTTTGGAGCAAAGTAGAGGAAAAATGGAGCGGAATAATGGCGCTCAAGCGCTGGAGAACGAAGAAATATTCAACAGAACTCGGGCGCTCAAGCGCCGCCTTGCCAGCGCTCAAGCGCTACACCAAGCTTGGGAACAAAAAAAATTCAACAGAACTCGGGCGCTCAAGCGCTGCCTGAGTGGCGCTCAAGCGCCACCTGTGTGGAAGTCGCGGCGCTCAAGCGCTACAGTATAGCGCTCAAGCGCTGCGTCGCGAAGAAAATAGGTAATTTTTGGGCTCCGAAAAAGCCCACAAAAAGGACCCCAACTTGACTAAGGATGGATGAGAAGTATAAATAGGCTAAGAGAGGTACAAAATAGGGTCCCACACCTTGCAATTATTGAGAGAAAAACTCAAAATGAAAGGGAGATTCACGAGAAGAATTACATCAAGGATTCGGGTTCAAATCGAAGATTGGAAGCGGAAGAAGATCTTGGTGCAAGAGCTTAATCTTTCCATCTTTTGTATCATTTAAATCCGGTGATGAACTCAAATTTTGTTATTTATTTCGTTGTTTTACGCATGAGTAGCTAAATTTATTATTAGGGCGAACAATGTAATCTTTTGAAACCCTTAGTTATTTAATTTATGAATTCTGAGTTTTCATTCTTCCATGTGTTGATTTTATTATGTGTGTAATGCTTCAAATTACCTGGCCATTAATTTGATGATCTATTGAGTTTCTTACGAGTCGAGAGGTGAGTTCGAAACTTAGAACGTGTAATAAAGTCCGGTAACGAGGTATAACGTGTAGAGATACCTATACTAAGTGCCGCGGTCGTTATGTGAATTCCTAGTGCCTTAATTCGTTTAACTAAGGAGAATTTGCATAGAGATATAGAATTAATTTAACTAAATAGGCTCAATGAGAACTCGAGAGGGGTAAATTGAATACCGTAGGAGAATTCGATCGAACACTGCATTAGGCTAGAATCTTGAATTGGTAACTAAGGTGATCATTAGGTGAAATTGTTTTGCTCTAATACTTCTCGCATATTTGAATCTTTGATTTGTTTGTCTCCAACATTCGTTCATAAATTTTCATTCGTTTTAGAAATCTAGTCATTCTAGACATCCATATTCATCACAATATGAATTTTGAGCTTATTTATTTTCATCAAATAGTAGTAGGAGAAATATATTAAGCACTAAAGTTTAGTTCTCGTGGGAACGATAATTCGGACTCTTAGGTCCACTATATTACT